TGTGTTTGTGTGTGTGTATGTATATACATATGTATATGTATATGTATATATAGATATAGATAAGACTTCATATTAATATGGACATTAACTTTATTTCTAAATATGTGGATTTTAAACAAATATTTAGTATCTTATTTTTCTCTGTCATATTAAATTATAATTTTAGAGCTATGAGTAGCCCTGAATGAAGGGGACTTGTATAAGGTGCCAATAGGTGCACTTCCTCTGCCTGATTTGGGGGACACAGTTGAAATTCTTCATCAAGAGAGAGCATTCCTCTCTTTGGCAATCACTACCCTGGCAAACCTCTGCCAGTCCACACTGTATGGTATAACTTCCTCTGGGTTTCTGCCCCTTTGGTACCTTTTCCCTAAGGGCTTGCAATTCCCTTAAACCCTGAAGGGCAAAGAGGTGAACTTTGAGAGAGACCTGATTGCACTGACCTATCTATTTCTGCCTCCCCCTTGCTCTCATTTTCCCTGTCTTCAATTGTTTTTTGCCTCAGGTGAAAAAAAATCCTATTTATAGCTCTATAGTTTTTCAAGGTGTTTGAAAGCAAATGAGACAGTGAGAAAGGTAGATGAAAAAAATTCTTTTTCAGGTTCTACGCATAATATTCTTCTTTAGTGCTACTGTAAATTCAAGGACAATAACCAGGTATATCACCAATTCCCAATATGACCTCGGAGAAGTCTTTTACCTATCCCTGCCATAGGAGATTTCTCTGGGCATTGACACTAACGATGTACTTTCAAAATATAATAATAATGATAATAACAACAATAAATCTTGAACTTGTATTGAGTTTTACTGCTTAAATCTGACTTTATATACATAACCTGGACTTCACAGTAGAGTTTAAAGTATGGCTTTGAGAGGAAAATATCGTTTCCCTTTTTAGTAGTTAAGGAAACCATATTTTCTAGTACATCTGTTGCTTGCTTTCAAAACAGAATCACTGTCTAAAACAGAGTAGAAATGAAAGACAAAGAAAGAAAACACTTCGTTTTGGCATTTTTTTCCAACCAAGCTTAAGCTATTCTCAAATAGTAACTAGAGGATTCTGTGTAGTGAATTCGACTTTTTTTTTTTCTGGCCACTAGCAGGCAGTTTAGTGCATTTCTGCAATCACTTGGAAGGATCATTTATTGTACTTTCCAAAGCACATGCCTTATTGAATAATTGGATGCTGTTAAAAATAAGGTTATAATCAGCACTGTTTCAATGCGGAGCAGATGCAGGGATTGGGAGAGTAGTTATTGTTGGATGACAGGGATGTTTCACTATGTACTTCAAAGATCTATTGTTTAACTGTGTTCTCTCCCCCTATGCCACCCACAGTCTTTCTTTAGCTTGGAAGGTGTCTGAATATTGCTGTGACAGGAAATTACATGATCTTATTGGTCTACCTAGTGAGGAACCTCTCTCTTAACTGAACTGGTCCTCAGTCAATATTCAATCCATCATTGATTGATAAAAATACTTTGAAGGAAAATATAGTTTTCAAATGATTCCCTACATGGATCGTGTTTGGATGGGCCTGATGTTGGCCCTCTGTTAGTTTGTATTCAATCTTGGGACAGAATGAATCAGTCATAAATCACTGAACGCTTAGTAAAAAAAATGTTTACTTTGTCCTAACATAGCAAGGAGATTGCTCAAGGGAGGCACAGCTTGAGCTTTGTCCCACATCTGTCCAGTTGAATCCTGGTTTTGTTGCCTTTTCCTAACTCTGTTGGGAGTTGGAGAGAGGAACTGTGGTAGATATTATTGATATTATAGCAAGCTACAACATTTTTCTGAGTATAGTGGAATATTCTTGGGAATAAAGAGAAAAGGAGTTTGGGAAACTGTGGGTTCAACAACTGTATTATATCTAAAATTAAATACCTCTCTTCCCAAACCAGTACTTCCTATAACAACATTTGCATTTTTTTATTTCTTTCCTCAGCATTACTATTCTACTCCCTTGTAGTATTTTTTAATCCTTCTCTTTCACTTGTAGACAGTCAGCCATCATGTCTTCTTAATTTTTCCATTACAGTGTCTGTAGGGTTTGTCCCTCTCCACACCCACCACTGCACAATAGGACCTCAACCCATCTCTTCTCGATGGGTATTGTGGTAGCATCTCGAATGGTTTCACCGACTCCACTCTCTTTCTCTACTCAGCTGCCCTATTAATCTTCCTGAAATACTGTTTTTATCCTACTATATCTTAATCATAGTCACTTAACACCACTGTCTCCTTATTTTCCACTATTTCCCAGTATGAATCCTTAATCTCCCCAATCCCATGTCATGCTCATTCCCATCTTTCCATAAAAGTTCAAAGCATATCAAACTCCCATTTATAGTTACAATCCATGCCTTAGTATTTGGTTATGTCTAATATCTTTGACCAGAGCAAAATCCTCTTGGAAGACAATTATTGCATCTTCTACTTTTCTTGTGTTCTCCCCTCCCCCCCATCAGCATCTAGCACAAGGATGTAGATCCCTATCCTCAACTTTCCCACCCAACCCCTGGCCATATTTATTAGGTTGTCAAGAATTGTCTGTTGTACATTCACAACATAATCCTACATCTATTCTTGCCTTTCCACACATGTGGCCACTACCCTAGTTCAGACCTTCATTACCTCTTACCTGTTCTGTTGCTACAGGCCCTTATCTGAACTACTTGTCATTTCTCAAGTGTACCAGTCTGATCATCTCATTCCCCCAATCAAACACTTTTGAAAGGCCCCTCTTGTCTCAAGCATAAAATATGAACTTTCCAGACTGGCATTTAAAGCTCTTCATAATCTGTCTCCAGCCTACCTACTTTTCTAGGCTTGTCTTACTTTACTTCTCTTCATTAAACTTCAGTTCATGGGCCACCAACCATAGGAAACCTTTTTGAATTCTCACAAGTTGTTAGTGTTCTTTGCTTCCTCAAATTTTCATACAACATACAAATATCCATTTATATGTTGTCTCTTTTAAGACAGGAACTGTTTTTGTTTTTTAGTTTTCTGCTGCCCTCCCCCCTGCCTTTGTCACTAGTACTTAGCACAATGCCTTTCTCATGATAAGAATTTAATAAATTATTGTTAGATTTAGTAGAAGGCCTTTAATAAAATATTTGTTGCTTGATAATCACAGTGATGGAAATTCATAGAAGCTGAAACCATGTACCTTTCCTCATATACACCATATTTTCCTATACCTCTCATTTCTATCACCATATCATTTTCCAGAAGGGTCCTAGAAACCAACTTCACAGTTGAATACAAATACATAAAAATCTCATTTGATTCCTGTATTCTTCGATGGTTATCATCACTTTGATGGGAAATCCTGAAACTTGCATCACTTCATTAAATACCTCTGCCCAACACATCTGTCATCTTTGCTCTTCCTTGGGTAAGAATCAGCTCTAAAGCAAATCCTGCTGTGCTTGCATTTTAAAAAAGCTTACACAAAGCTCCATTTTACCAGGTCATTAAATATTATTGCCTGTTGCCTAGAAAAAAAAAAGATCCAGGATTCCAGATTGATCATGTTTCAGTCCTATTGATTTCATTCACCTATTTTTGGCACCTCAACACAAAAGACTCATGGCACATTACTTTTTTAAAAAATTAACATGTATTTGCAAAAAAGAAAATCTTGATGAAAGAAATTCTAATTTTTTTTCTATTTTATTGCTAAGACAGATACCAGGACTGTCCACAATTTCCTCAAGCCTTTCTTCTCTCTGTCAGATCATAATTAAAATATATATATATACATATATATACATATATATGCATATGTATATATATGTATATATATATATATGTATATATACGTGTATATATATGTGTATATACATATATATATATATACATATGTATATATATATATGTGTATATACATATGTATATATATATATATATATATATATATACATATATATATATATATACACACACACACACACACACACACACACACACACACACACACACACAGCCAAGGAGCAATCAGATGTCATCCCAGGGCTGGAAAACATTTTATAAATGCACTCTAATTCCCATCTTTGTATCTAATACTGATTATGACAGCTCCAGTTTTGGTTTACTGAGTGGTTACACTATTTACTTAGGGAGGGGATGGTCAGCAACGTGACAGGAAGATAAATGAATCCAGTGGCTGGTAAAGTACATCATGGTGATAGCTTTCAGAGAGTATAATACCTCCCTAACTACAGTCTAATTATCCCATTCTGGTGGAGTATGATTCAAAAAATGTCCCTTTCAAAGTGGAATGTTTGTAAAGTTTGTGTTTTTGGAGCGTCTGAGCCCTGTATCACACTTCCAATTCAGGGTCATTTTGCATTTGATGGTGTTGATACAGCTTGAAATTCTATCTGGGAGTTTGACATGAGAGTCCTAATTAGGGGAAGGCATAATTTTATGGCAGTAGCAATAAAAAGTTTAGGTGTGGATTAAGTGGCTACTTATTAAGACACATTTTGGTAATGTTGCAGTCCTCTGATGGTCTCTATGTCAGAGTTCCCAGATAATTACTTCACCTGCTTACTGGTCCTCCACTGTACCAGTATACACAGGGAAAATATAAGAGGGGGAGGGGTGTAAATTAGGTTTGACTTAGTAAAAAAAAATAAAACTTTCTCGTGCTGCCTTTGGTTAAACACTGATACAATCACTATTACAACTATAGTAATAACCAGAAACGCTATTTCTGTGGAGACAAGAAAATTGTATAGTGATAATTACTGTATCTTATTTGGCTGATTTCTAAGATAGGAAATAATACTGTTACCTATTTCTAAGGACTGTTTTCTCTTTTATTCCAAAACAGTATCACTGTGTTATGGGATAGCTATATCCTAATAAACAGCCTCTTCCTTAGGGGTGGGAGAGATGGGAAATAAATCATTAAGAAGGCCCTGAGTTCCAGAAGCAAAGGAAGGTGAGGAAGACAGAAACCAAGGCAATAAAGGTGCAGGAGACTCCCCATACTTTTTTATTTCATGCCTTATTTTCTCTGAAAGGAAAATTAAGAAAAATCCTAGTACAAGGGGACTGAATATGCCATTCCAGGCTTAGCTGAGAAATTGAAACACTGAACAGGTAAGATAGCGACTGTTTGTTTTTCCAACATTCTGTCATGAGTAGTTTGCTGTTAAGAATAGTAGTGATAATAACAAAATATCAATAATTACTCCTTATGTTTCTATTACACTAAATTTCAGGTTTACAGAATGATTTCCTCACAACACCCCTGTGAAGCTGGTCAGACAGGTAGAATTGTAGCCATTTAAAAGATGGAATAATTGGGAAGACTAGAAAGGTGGTGGTTTTTCAAGGAACGTCCAGCTCACAGGAACCGGAATTAAAATCCAGGTCTTCTGACGCTTGGTATTCTCTCCTTTGCAGACAAATAAATGTTCTTAGAAATTACCTGAAAAACATTAATTGGTGAAATGAAAGAATGATTCTACAGATGCAAAAGGTTGTCTGGTACAATTTCTGATCAAAATAATCTTTGAAATTCTAGTTTATTGGAAGAGAGAGAACAGAAGGACTTAGGGAAAGAAATTTTTTGAAGCTACTGGCTGCATTAGTTTTTTCTTTCTCTCTCTCTCTCCCTCCCTCTCCCCCCCTTTTCTTTCTCTCCCCCCCCCTTTGACTGAACATCTCGTAGCTTCTGTGATGCTTCCTTTCCTATTTCTAGGAATTGATAGAGAGATAGAAGAGCTGTGGCATTATGGATGCTAAGAGATCTGAAGTGATGGCAACATAGTGAATGCTAATGTAATGGAAATTTTAAAAAGAACCATTTGATTTGGTGACACAGAGCATTGGCAATTTTCAGTAGAATGAGGGGAGCTAAAGAAAGATTATAAGGCTTGAGTAATTGGAGTAAATATGATGGCATATTACTATTTCAATAAAATTGGTGAAAGGAAGGAAAGAAGATGGTAGTTAAACTTTTCAGGATCTTGGGAAATAAGAAAGGATTTCTTGTGATTTGTTTCATATTAGGGTGAAGGGTGTCTATTCCTGTTTGTAGGCAGAGGGCAAGGAGTCATCTGAAAGGAAGAAACTGAAGACACTACAGAAAAAGAGAGATAAATCAATGAATAAATGAATGAAAAAAATCATTTAATATGCCTACCATGTACTTGGCATAGTGTTATGTTGGACTACAGATACAAAAATAATACATAAAATCCTTTTCCTCATGGAATCTACCTTATAGTTGGGGGAACTGATACATGCAGGGGAATGGTGACTAGGGAATGAAATTTTGGTCTATGACTTGCCAGCCATGTCCCCAAAATCTTATAGTGCAGTTTTAATCTTTAATAACTTCAGTGATATAAATGCTACAAACTTACAAAAACATTTGAAAAGTTTATTATTTAGGTTTTCTAATATTGACAAGTTTCTTATTAAAATTCAATCTAACCACCATCTTCTGCATTTCAACATTTTAGTTGATTTTTAAACTTTATATAAACTTTCATTGGCTGCTGCTCAGTGACTCAAAGAATTGTATTCATAGTCCTAACCTTAAGATTATGCATAGAATGAGGTTTTGATGTGACTCCACATGAAAAAGTCTAATAGAGATGAATCAGGTATTTGAGCTGGCCAAGCAAGAGGGATCCACCATTCTAAGCATCATCTAGAAACTGTCACACATGTATTGCATGACAGAGTGCTCCATTTTTAAATTAAAATTTACTATTAAGAACTAAATAAGTATAAAGAATTGAAATAATTAAACTTTCAAATGATTTTTTAAAGTTTGCAATGTTTATTCTTCTGAAGGTATTAAAGCTTAAAATTGTGCTAAGACTTTTGGAATACCCCACATGTACATCTAAAACAAGAATTTTTATTTCTATATGTGAACCAATGTATCACACTTTTATTTCCATATTTCACTCCAACCCCCAAAGAAAGTAACATCCTTGAATAGTTCATCATCAGACAGTATTTTTCCATATTCTTAGCAGACTTACCGCAAGGTGGCTTATAAAGGCAAAACCCAGCCAGATTCCTCAGTTACCTTCAAATCTAAATTAAACAGCTATTCCCTATCCCACTTTGTATGGACTGCTTAATAATCACCAAATGCATTGTCAAAGCTTCAGGAAAAGGGAGGGGGGTGGGGATCCAAAGACCATGAATGGCACCATGTCACAAAAGAATATAGTATTTATGGAGTCTCTCTGCCTTCCTGACTCAAAATTTCATTGCATACTTTTGTCTTTACCTTGCTCATCATTTATATACATGTGAATATGTACATGTATCTATCCCTCATATACTCATTCCCTTCTCACTTGAAACACACACACACACATATACATATGTGTGTGTATCTATCTATCTATCTATCTATCTATCTATCTATCTATCTATCTATCTATCTATGCAGTCCCCCTGCCCCCAACAGTTTCATTATCTGCTTTATCTTCATGCACAGGAATTCAGTGTAGTATGATGAAAAGAGCACTGAATTAACTGGATATTAGGGTCATAATCTTGGATCTTTTGCACCCTAACTGTATTACCTGGGACATGTCACTTAGTGTCTCTGTGCCTCCTAGGTCCTAGAAAAAGAGAGGGCCAAACTAGCTGCTATGTGATCTTCATTTTCATCTAGAAAAAGCTATTATTCTATATTGAACTCTGGTTTTTCCTCTACCTGAAATGCTCTCCCTCCTGACTTCCTTCACTTCCTAATCAAAATCCTACTTTCTGTTGGAAGCCTTTCTCAATCCCTCTTAATTCTAGTGTCTTCCCTCTGTTTATTATTTCCTATTTATCCTGTTATGTAGCTTATTTGTACATAGTTGTTTATGTATTGTCTTCCCCCATTAGATAATGAGCTCTTCAAAAACAGGGATTGTTTTTTGCCTCTCTTTATATTCCCAGTGTTTATATTATTGACTAACTCATTGGCATTGTCTCAGTAGAGGACACTGTGCTGGTTACTGAAGAATAGGACATGGACCCTGCCATACAGGGACTTAGTTCTGCACCTGTACTGTGAGGAAATGACATAGTGTAACCGAGGAAGGTGATGGCTTAAGATAGAGAAATCCTTCATGGAGCTGAATTTGAGATGTAAATTAACATACTAGAGTTTTGTTGCTGAAGTGGAAAATCTATCATCAATGACCCTGGTCTTCAAGGTGCTTCTGTGGTCAGTATAAAAAGACAGAAGAGATCAGTATGCGTATTTCTTCCACAATGGGAAACAGATCTCTATTTCATGAGGACAAAGCCCTCATGAATAAAAAGAAATGAAGAGCTTTGGGGAGGACTGACTCAAAGGACAAGATCTGGTAGGGGATCTCTCAGGATGAGAGGGAAGCCCAAGAAATTCTATGCTTAGGTCTCCTCTACACTGGCAAAAAATACCCGTTCTTCTCCAAACCATCTTTCACATTGCAGTGAATCTTCCACATGCACTGTGCTCATCATGTTACTCCCTCAAAATCATTACCTGCAGTCTCCCTAGTCTGGCGTTCAGGGCCCTCCAACCTACCTTTCTAGATTTGTCACATTTTCTTCCCCTCACATATTGTATGCTCCAGTGAAGTTATATCAATCACATTCTTCCCTTCTTCTATGCCTTTGTTTGTTTTGTCACCTATGCCTGATGTGGGTACAATGGAAAGAATATTGGCTTTAAAGTCAGTAAGCCAGGGTTCAAATCCAAGTAACTTTATCTCATTCAACCTGAGGTTCCTCATCAGTAAAATAAGGGGAATGAACCAGACACAATATCTATGGTCCCTTGTAGCTCTAGCTCTCTGATCCTATTGAAAAGCCCCATGAGTCTATACTTTTCCAAGGGGCCTTAGTTCTGGGGATGCCTGGAATCTAAAGAAAGGGCTCAGCCTTTTTCCTTTTTTATCTCTGGTTCAATACTCCAAGCCCTCCCTGGTACCCCAAAGTAGACCTCTGGGTATAATTTCTTAAACAAAACTTAGGCTGGGCTCTCTTTTAAAGGCATTGACAAGGGTCCATTATACTGTAGAATGGTACTCAGTTAAAGTAAAAAGAAAAAGAGGTACTCGATTTCAAATGAACTGCATGAAACACAAAAGACACATAAAGTACATCTTGACAGATACTTAAAATGTTATTCAATTACCCTTCACTCCTATTATCCTTTCCCAGGAAATTGATATTAAGAACGTCAAAACCTGAAACACTCTGTGGGACTGCTGAACAGCTCTTTCCTACTCAGTTTGGCTTTGCACTGGCAGAACAACTCAAGGTCCATATTTTCAGGCCAGGGCATCAGTTGCAGTAAGTATAAGGAGCAATTCCTGAAGGGCAGCTGGCACAACTAAAGAACCCAGAAATCCTTGAAAACCCAAAGTAGCTATCCTGTAACATGTGCTTAAGGAAAGCAATCCAAAGCAGTAGAGGGAACCAGGGAACATAGGTCTAGTCTCATGTGCTCATTGCCATGTGTAGGTAGTTGCTGGCTATAGGAAGGGGAAGGAGAATTCCTTTCAATATCTCACTGGGAGGGAGGCAAGGGAGATTCCAAGCTACATGGCTCAAAAGAAAGGAAGAGACTGAGAGTAGACTTTGTTTTCCCTCTAGTACCCACAGAGTGGAAGGCTTTTTCTGCTCAGTGCCCAATCCTCTTCGATGCTTTACTCTTTCACAGGGTGCCATGACACATATTTCATTGGAGGTTGCCCAATCTTGGGGCCACCAGAAGAAACCAGAGTGTTAGCTTCACTTCGAAGCAAGTGCCCTGGCCAGAAGAAATTACTTGCCCCTGACTACAGAGATTTTACCCTTCCTTCAAGCCCCATCTCAAATAGGCAGTTAGGTGGTACATCGGATATCGTGCAGGACCTAGACAGTCAGCATGAATTGGGTTGAAATCTTGCCTCAGACACTCTCTGGTTGTGTAACCTTGGCCAAGTTGCTTAACCTTTCTGGTCTTCAATTTCTTAATCTGTAAAATTGTGATGATGATAATATGTACTTCACAGGGTTGTTGTGAGAATGAAATGCATTAATTTATCAAAAACACTTTGCAAACCTTAAAGTACTATGCAAATGCTAGCATTTTTAATATTGTTGCTATAGCTATTATTCAGTCTCCTCCCAAAAGCCTTCCCTGATGCCTCCCACTGGAAGGGATCTATTTATCCCTGAGAGTGCTTTCTCATAGCGCTTTTGTAAACATCTCCTTTGCATGAATTCTCTACATTGTAATTATTTGTGTATGTTCATGACATCTTCTCTACTTGACTATACCTTGAGAGTATAGCTATATTTTACTCGTCCTTGAACCCACTAGTACAGTGCCCTGCAATCTCATCGACGTGGTTATTCCCTCCAATGATGTACAGCATATTGTACCTGGGAGACTCTTGTATATGTCTTTCTATAAACCCACTGGGATTTTTCCTCCTATCCTAATGTGCTGGAAGTCCTCCACTAGGTCTCAACATTTTATTGATATCAAATACTCAGGCTCTCACCCTTGCTTTTGCCAGAATGCTGGCTTAACTTCTGCTCCAGTCATATTCTATTTCTACATGATTCTTTATTTGAAATGAATTGAGGCCGGCTCATATGCATCATGCACATCTGCATTGATCTCTGGTTATCCCCCAATGGAAGTATTCCAGGCGTGTTGTTCCTTGACTCATAACCATATAATATCTTCTATTGTTTTTAAAGGCAGACCTTTGTTCAGGAAGAAGCATGTGGTCGTTAAGAGAACTGCACTTAATATTTGTTGGTTTGGTTTTACTGTTAGTCTGATTTCATTACTGTGGGGAGTTCTCAGTGAGGAAATTCCATTTACCAATTAAGATTGGCATTTTCTTGGCAATCTTTACTCTTGTACAGTTGCTTGAGTCACTGAGAAGGTAAGTGACTTTTGCTTAGTTTCATCTGTTATTCAGAAGAGGTGAAACAGGCCCAGGTCTTCATAGTTTTGAGGTAAGCTCTCTATGCACTCTCTATGATATGTTGCAAATGAACATATCATTTTATTGATTTAAATTCTCTAATTTCTTAGATTCCAAATTGTTTTCCATTTCAGAATGCATCAGCATAATTTTTATCTTTCAATGCCTTGAATGAATACAGTTTATTAAACGTTCACTAAATTACATGCGTGCATACATATGCATATATGTATACATATCTACACACATACACACATATATACTTACATATACATATATATTTGTAAAAAGTTTAGCACATAGTAGATGCTATATAAATGCTTATTCCTCTCTCTTCCCCCACTAAGTTCTGTGGATACATCTAAAACAGTGAAATATTCATTGCTATCAAGGATTCTACATTCCAATGCGCAGGTGGGAAGACAACAAATAGGAGTGATAGTCAGATAAGTTGTATTTGTCCTGGAAAGGCACAGGGGTGGTTAGTGAGTTACAGGTGAATTCATAATTGACATACCCTTTCCATAAGCAGTGGTAGCAATGCATCCAGGCAGTGCTCCAATATACATCAATGATGGTAGTATAATGAATCCCCTAAATTACATGAGGCTGCCCTGTATTTGACTTTCTTATCCAAATAGCAAATAATTCTGTTAGTCTTTTGTGATGTTAATAGCAAGAACACACGTAGATTATTTTTATATGAGCTACATAGGACTAAAAGCGAAGAATTCATTCATTTGAATCCTGTGCTCTTAGCACCACATGTAGAGTTATTGAAGGTACATCACACTGACAGCATATTCTATTACGAATGCTGCTTAAATTACATGTTTTTTTTACATTAGTGCTTTTTATATCAAAGCTATATCTTGTAATTGAGAAGAGTTTACCAGAAAAAAATTTAAAGTGCAAGCTGTGCCCTGAAATAGGCATTTTGATTGATCTACAGATAAAATGTTACCAATAAGATAAGGTCTTCTCATCGCGTAATGGCCCCATTACTATCATATCACAATTCTTCATATTCAATGCACAAGACTATAATATCAGAACAGGAGATTGATGTTACTGCCACTGTTGAAATATTAGGTTTGGACTATAGTTCACTCTGTGGTGACATGTAAAGTTCAAGGCATCACAGCTCTGACAAGATTTGCTCATTATTTAATTAGGCACTGAAAGCTCTCAGCAGAAATTCCTGGACCTATGACAGAATCATTGCTGATCAAGAGGTACACGTCATTCAAAGGGTCAGTTTTAAAGGTGCCACATAACACAATTTTAATTTCAGTAGTCTGCAAATGGCAGCCTATTTCGGCTCTTGAATCCACAGAGTAACACACCAAGGGTTCTACTTCTCCCTGTTCACATCCCTTTTTGTTCTCACTACGCATATTTAAGCATTCTATAAAGATGCAGCCCAGGAGGTAGCCTGGTAGAGTGAAAAGATTACTGAATTTAGAGTCAATGAGCCTGGGTGTGAATCCAAGGTCTATTACTTGGCAAAACTGTATGGAGTTGAGCAAATCATTTCACCTTTCTTGACATCAATTTCTTTTCTGTGAAATGGGGATTGAAGGGAGGATACAGCTAGGTCCCATTAGGGTAAAGTGGTGGTGTTATTCAAATTTATATTTCATGGCCCCATTGGACTGGAACCAATTATCAATTTGCCTGATTATAATTTCCAATACTACCAACTCAAATACATGAGGCTACTTCATGAGATTCTTCGTTTGGACTAATTGGGACCTAATTGTACTTAGAATAGTCACCTACCAAGGGTATCATAAAAATTGAATGAAATATTGGATATGGAGCATCTTATAAGTAAGCACTAGTTGTGAACAGTTGTTACAGATGAAATTTTAGATAGACAATTTCTCTTAAATTTTACTTTTTACTTAGGTAATGTCAGCATATTTAATGTAAATTGGGAATTGCTTGATAGAACAACAGTGAGTGAGGAGGAACTGAAGTACATGGAATCTAATCTGTTTTTTTAACAGGACTCTCTTTAATAGCATTTAAAGGAAGTGATCATCTAGCCTTGGCTTAAAGACCTCAAATGAAGTCAAATGAGGGGAGATGCACTATCTCCTAAGACAATTTTCTCTGCTTTTGGACTACTTTGTTAGGAGATTTTTCCCAATATCTACCATAAACTTGGCTTTTCAGTAGCCATTCATTTTTCCCACACTCCCAGCTGAGGGGAAACAGTTTCCTCATGTGTAGCATGGGGGCATTGAACTAGATAAACTCTAAGGAATCCTCTCTTCTCCAGAATAAACATCTCTAGTTCCTTGAAGTGATCCACTTGGTCTTGATGTACTTTATCATCCCTGCCATCCTTTAGAATTTCTCTAAATCAGAAGGTTTTTTTTAAATAATTTTTTTCTTTATTTCTCTTTCTCCTTCTCCTTCTGGCAACATGGAAATTTTTTTTTAATTTTTTTTTTCCATATGCTTTTGAGTTGAAAATTTTTCTCCCTTCCCCCCCCCAAGACAGTGCACAATCTGATAAAGGCTATACGTTTACATTCCTATTAAACATATTTTCACATTAGTGAAGTTGTAAGTAAAAATTAAAACCAATATGAGGACCCATCAGAAAGATGAAACAAAACTCAACAGAAGGTAAAAATAAGTGAGAGTGATTCGACTTCTCTAGTTCTTTCTTTGGATGTGGACAGCATTTTCCTTCCCGAGTCCTCTGGAGATGTCTTAGATCCTCATAATGCTGAGAACGGTTCAGTTTAACATTCTTAGTCATTGCATAACGTGGCTGCTGTTGTGTACAAAGTCCTCTTGGTTCTGCTCACTTCACTCAGCATCAGACCATATAAGTCTTCCCAGGTTTTTCTGAAGTCAGCCTGTTCATCATTTCTTCTAGCACAATAGTATTCCATTACATTCATATACCACAACTTGCTCAGCCATTCCCCAATTGATGGGCATTCTCTCAATTTCCAATTCTTTGCCACCACAAAAAGAGCTGCTATGTATATTTTTGTACATGTGGGTCCTTTTCCCATTTGTTTGATCTCTTTGGGATATAGCCCTAGAAGTGCTATTGCTGGATCAAAGGGTATGCACATTTTTGTATCCCTTTGGGCATAGTTCCAAATTGTTCTCCAAAATGGTTGGATCATTTCACAACTCCACCAACAATGTATTAGTGTTCCAATTTTCCCACATCCTCTCCAACATTTATCATTTTCCTGTTTTGTCATGTTGGCCAATCTGATAGGTGTGATGTGGTACCTCAGAGTTGTTTTGATTTGCATTTCTCTAATCAATAATGATTTAGAGCATTTTTTCATATGACTATAGATGGCTTTAATTTCTTCATCTGAGAACTGTCTGTTCATATCCTTTGACCATTTATCAATTGGGGAATGGCTTGTGTTCTTATAAATTTGTCTTAATTCTCTATATATTTTAGAAATGAGGCCTTTATCAGAAAGACTGGTTATAAAAATTCTTTCCCAATTTTCTACCTTCCTTCTAATCTTAGTTGCATTGGCTTTGTTTGTGCAAAAACTTTTCAGTTTCATGTAATATTATTTCATTGTCTATGGTGCCTTTTAGCAGGATGTAGTTTCCTTCCTTATCTCTTTTGATTAGATCTATTTTTGCTTTTGCTTTATCAGAGATCAGAGATACTTCAGCTGATGTATAATATATTCTGCTCCAGCCTTTTACCTTTACCCTGTGTGTGTCACTCTTTTTCAAATGTGTTTCCTGTAAACAACATATTGTAGGTTTATGGTTTTTAATCCATTCTGCAATCCGTTTCCATTTTATGGGAGAGTTCATCCATTCACATTCACAGTTATGATTACTATCTGTGTTTTTTTCTCCATCCTTTCCCCCATTTATGCTTTTCTTTCTCCTTTTTCCTTTCCCCTTCACTAGTGTTTTGCTTTTGACCACCGCCTCCTTCAGTCCCTTCCCCCTTTTATTATCCCTTTCCCTTTTCTTCCCCTTTAGTCTTACTGCTGCTTCCCTCCCTTCTTTCCCCCCTCCCTTTTCTTTCCCTTTTCCCTCCTACTGCCTATAGGGCAAGTTAGATTTCTATACCTAACTGATTATATTATGCCCTTCTTGAGCCTAATCTGATGAGAGTAAGGTTCAAACAATGCTCCCCCCCTTCTTTCCCTCTGCTGTAATAGGATTTTGTGTCTTTTCCTGTAATGTAATTTACCCTTGTCTGCCTCCTCCTTTCTCAGTACCTTTTCTAAGATTAGATTGATCCACTTATTTGGATCCATTTAACCCACTTGATTAGATTTTTTTTTATCATTACATCAAAGTCAACTAATATCCACCCTCTTTATGTATACTCCTTTAACAAGGTGTAATAACAATACAGTTCTCAAGGGTTGCAAGTCTCATATTCCCTTGTAGGGGTTTAAACACCCCCCCCTTATTAACAACATATTGTATCCTTCTGTCCCATTTACCTTTTTAAGTCCTTCTTGAGTCCTGTACTTGAAGATCAAATTTTTTGTTGAGCTCTGGTCTTTTTATCAGGAAAGTTTGGAAGTCTCCTATTTCGTTGAATATCCACCTCCTCCCTTGAAAAATGATGCTCATTTTTGCTGGGTAATTGATCCTTGGCTGCATTCCAAGCTCCTTTGCCTTACAGAATATCATGTTCCATGCCCTGCGGTCTTTTAATGTAGAAGCTGCAAGGTCCTGTGTAATCCTGACTGTGGTTCCATGATATTTAAATTCTTTCTTTCTGGCTGCTTGCAGCACCTTCTCTTTCATCTGGTAATTTTGGAATTTTGCTATTATATTTCTTGGCATTGTCAATTTGGGATCTCTTTCAGGTGGTGATCAGTGGATTCTTTCTATGGTTATTTTCCCTTCTGGTTCTAGGACTTCTGGGCAGTTTTCCTTTATGATTTCCTGAAAGATACTGTCCAGGCTCTTTTTTTCATCATGATTTTCAGGTAGTCCAATAATTTTTAAATTGTCTCTCCTGAGTCGATTTTCCAGGTCGGTTGTTTTACTGATGAGGTATTTTACATTTTCATCATTTTTTCATTTTTTTGTTTCTGTTTGACTGATTCTTGCTCTCTCATAGAGACATTAGTTTCCATTTGTCCAATTCTAGTTTTTAACAGATTGTTTTCTTCTGTTAGTTTTTGTACTTCCTTCTTCAACTGGCCAATTGTGTTTTTTAGGGACTTGTTTTCTTCAGTGTATTTTTTTTTCCAACTGGCCAATTGTATTTTTGAAGGACTCTTTTACCTCTCTCATTTGACTATTAAAATCCTTCTTGAGCTCTTCTAAGAAGGCTTTTTGGGCTTCAGACCAGTTCATATTCCCTTTTGTTGTTGCAGATGTGGGTTTGTTGACAATGTTGTCCTCTTCAGAATTTCTGTCTTGATCTTCACTCTTCTCATAATATGAATCTATGGTACATTTCTTTTTACTCATGGTGTTTCTTTATTCCCTGGCCTTTAAAGAGATTGAGCTCTCCTGCTGGGGAACAGAGGGTACTGACCCAAGCTTCTTGTGTTGGGAGCCTAGGTCTTGGTCACTGGCTTTGTGTGCTGGGGCCTCTTATGTTGGCAATTGGAGGCTGTAGGTTTCTGGCAGCTTACCTAGTGTTGGGCTGGAATCAGCAAGGCTGGAACTTTCAGGCAATTCTAGGTTGCCTGCTTTTCCTTTCCTTTAGCTTTCTTCTGCTCCTTTTAGATGGCTGCTGCAGGATGTTTATCTGCCTGGGGCCCCCTGCAGTGTTTTCTCCCTGTTTCTGCTAATGCACGGGAGATTCCTTTGGGTGGATTGCGAGACTCCTGGTGGTTTTCTGAGCTGGTTTCCACCAGTTCCCCCTGCCCTCACTGATGCACTCAGAGGTCCAGGTGTTGGTGTTTGCCTGCTCTACCACCTGGGCTTCAGGGCTCCTACAGCTCACCTGGTGTTGGGTTGGAATCAGCAAGATCGGGGCTTTAGGAAGCCTTTAGGTTGTTTTCTTCACCTCCTTTCAGATGAATGCCGCAGGATACTAATCCGCCTGGGGCCCCCTGTTTTTGCTGAGGCACTGGGAGACCCGTTTGCTGGGCTACTGCACTGCTGCTCCTTGTCTTTCTTCTAGTTCAGCTGTTCCTCTAAATCAGAAGTTCTTAACCTAGGATCCATGAACTATTTCCCTCCCTCCATTATTTCTCTTTTTCCTTTCTTTTAAAAACATTTTGTGAACCATGTGTTAAGATAATTAATTTCTTTTACAATGTATTTTTAATGCATTTCATTTTTTTTTTCTGAGATGGGCTCCATTGGCTTCATCAGACTGACAAAGAAAAGGTTGAGTCTTTGTTTCAGACCACAAATATCCTTCTTTGAACATGTCATCCACAAATCATACAGTACTCCAGATGTTATCTGATCAGTGCAGATTACAGTGGAAGCACCATTTTCCTTTTTCTGAACCCTATTCTTTTCTTAAAATCATGCTCACATTGAGCTAGTAGGCCACTAAAATTTCCGTTTGTACATTTTAAGTTGGTTTTTTTTGGAACCTAAGCATAAGACATTATATTTGTTCCTGTTAGATTACATCCTATCAGATTTAAGTTAATATACTAGTCTGTTAATATCTTTTTGAATCTTAATTCTGTTTTCCAGTGAGTTGGCTGCCCTTCACAGATTTCTGTTATCTGCAAATTTGGTAAGCATTTTATCTATGCCGTTATACAAATCACTGGTAAAAATGTTAAACTGCACTTAGCTAGGACACTCCATTGAAGACACCTTCCAAGTTGACCTCAAATAAATAATTACTCATTAAACCACTTCCAATATCCATTATTGCATGTATTCCTGAACAACCCTTCTCACACATGGGCTCCCCTAAAAAGCTACCTCTAGTTTGAGATATTCTCAAATACACTCAGTACTACAGCTCATAATGTGTTTTACTTTTACTAGACACTTAGGAGCCACATTACTTTAAAGAGGACACATTTAATCAAACAGCATAGCAAATAAAGAGATAAGAAAAGATTCCCTCTCTGTGTATGCATGGGATATGCTCTCCCACATTACCAGTGGTGGAGTGTATGTGAACACACAAACACAGACAAACACACCACTTGTGCCCCAGTCCAGTAAACATACACAAAGGGACACAAGCACGAAGGCCAAACCCTGTAGCCAGGCTGTACAACTGGGCAAGACAACTCACACACCCACAGTATTGTTGGGGCATAGATGTCCATTGTCTTTTGGGAATCCTGTCTCAGCAGTTTTCTAGATGCATTCCTCTACTTATTATTACTTACCAGGTAGCTCCTTCCTGTAAGCCTCTGGCCTTCATCTCTTCAGAGTCACTCTGTTGGCTATACAGGCTCACTCTTCTAGAATGCAGTAATGAATAGATGGTCTTAATAGGTGAAGGATGATAGTCCTTTTGAAACAGCCAGAGGTAATGAATCATTATACTCTACCAAGGTATTGCCTCATTTCCCAAAGAAAAAGCTGGAAATGATGCTCCCAGACTAACTCTTTTCTTTTAACTCCCTGTTTCTGGTACTGAATCTCAGTCCATTGTCCTAGATATCTATTTGACTTAGTGTTAGAAATTCCCAAGATCCTCTCTGACTTTGTGTGGAAACACATTTGAACCAGAGCAAAGACAGGCAATAGAGACAAGGTTACTATCCTTAATCCCCCGACCTTATGTCTTCTTTGTGTATTTACCTCAGCATTAAAAACCCCTGTCTACTTGCTACACACACACACACACACACACACACACACGAAAACAATGAAAGTCTTTGTATAACATAAGGGGACATGAGGTAGATGTTAATATATGGAAATAAAAAAAATAAATTATTCAAAGATGTATCCATGTGCACACACATTCTGTGATTCAATCTGCCGTTTTTCTCTCAACTTATCCTGACAGAACCTGTATTTGAGAAAGCCATGTAGGCTATTTACCATTATCATCTTCTATAGGTGCTTTGCAGAAACCAGTTTAATAAATAATTCCTGAATTTTGACAGGGATTAAAGTGAAATTCACCAGTGTATAATTTGCAAGTTCTACTCTCTTCTTTCTTTTGAAAATCATAATGTTCATCTTTCTCTGGTCCCATGGCACTTATCTCATTCTCTACTCTCTTTCACAGGTTTGGGCTTCAATAGTTATGCCTCTTGGTTCAAACAGACTTCTCAGATGTATAGCTGATGGAGTCAAAGAAAATAACGTGATTTTCTACCCAATTATGGTTGGCTTGATCAGTAAGAATAAAAATAAAACTTTAGCAGAATTCTTCACTGGGAAAGAAACATAGGCAAAATCAATATGGAAAGTTTGTCTAATCTTTAATTATTACTGATGAATCTAAGATCAATGTCTTGAGTAAAGCTATTATTTTAACTTATCCTCAATATTTTTACTTTTGGAAGGAAGTCTTCCTCAGATATATTTTTAGATTCATTGATAAAATTTTTGGGCTTTAGGGCACCTTGATTTTAAAAACACTTGTAGGGTTTTTTCCTACTCTATGTTTAATTCCCTTGATTAGAAAGCTCAACCTGCTTATATCTTAACCAGTTCCCTGCTCTCTGTTTCCCTCATACCCAAGCAGTATGATATTACTGGTCTGTCTGAAACTCCATGATTTTTTTCCACACTCAGAAATTAGTTCTTATGGGTGACTAGCATAATTCTTTTTTATAGTAGGTCTCAATAAATATTATTTGGTATAATTTTCCTATACCTGAGTAGTTTATTCAAAGCCTCTCTTGCCAGCTAGGAGGCACAGTGATAGTGCTGGGCTTTTGAGTCAAAAAGATGTGAGTTCAAATCCCACCTCAGATACTTACTAGCTTTGTGACCTCAGTCTTCCTTAACACCTCCAAGGATTATTGTCAGGACAAAGTGAGAAAAAATTTGTATAGGCATCTGACACATACTGGTGGTTGTCCTTCATTCTTAGAGATGACCACCATATTAGAGTCAAGTTACAGTGTATGTGACTGTGGCTGATCAGACCAATACAAGCTCAGAATTCTCCAGCACAGGTCAGGCGCAAATAGTCCACATGAACATTTGTGGAGGATTTTCTAAATTTGTGTGTCTCGAGCACTTCTTTTGGGCTACTTCAGTTATGTTTTGCTCATAGGGGGCACACCATGCTGGGCAGTCCTGTGCCAGTGTCTCCTATGTCACACAATTCCAAAGTTAAGAGAGACTTAAGAGTGCCCTTATATCACTTTTTCTGACCATCATGTGAGTGCTTGCCCTGTGTTAGTGCAAGTGAATTGGATTATAGTGGGGGAGGGTTGTGCAAAGTCACCAGCCTCTCTTTTTCCTCCAGAGCCATCTGGGTCCATTGACCAGATATAGATCAGGACATCCAGAGATGGCCCAGGGTGCAGTGGGAGACCTTGGCCTTTTAAAGCTAAGGTCTTTCCAAGTTCTCATTGTGCTTGAGTCAATGCCCATTCAGTGATTAGGGCTTTTTAAGAAGTGAAACAAGGGATGACCATTTTAATAAAACAAAACGAAGCAAAACAACAAAAACTTGACTCAACAACGAAAAAGCACAACAAAAAACTCAAACTGGGAGGGAGAGACCCTCAGGTTTGTTTGTGGCCAGAAGAAAAAGAATTACAGTTTACATTCACTCTGAGCCATCAAGGTCCAAAAAATACCCATTAAGTGGTGCTTGGACAGGGAGTTATGATTGGCCAATCAATGAGAGCTAGAGTAAATTGAATTTCAGGCATGGTCTCTAAGAAAGAAATCTAGCCAATAAATCCCACGATATCAAAGTAGGCTTCAGCTGTCAAAATTTACCTTCCTTTGGGCAGAGTACCTTTATGTAAAGGCATGACACCCCATGTAGGGAGAGGATGATTAGGGAACGAAGGAGTTGCCCAACTGGAACTGGCCAGCTGGGTCCCCATTGGGTGGCTTGTACTATTCATAGGCTGTGCTTTGTCCTTTGTTCTCAAAAGAACCATGACATCAGGGAGATGATGCCATGACTTGCAAGTGAATTGGACTAGTGAAGGAGGGTTGTGCAAAGTCGTCTTCACTTTCTCTTCCAGAACCATCTGGGTATATATGTATGTATAAAAGATTTGCCCAGATGAGGTGTTTGCATGACTGGATTATGTCTACTGTGTATATGCAGACAGAATGAGTAAAGATGGAAGTCAGACAATTTAGAGAAGAATCATTAGAAAATTAATTAGGTTGGGGTACCACATTTTAAGAGAGACAGCGACAAATTAGCATGTGTACACAGAAGGTTGACTGGGATGGTAAAGTTTCTAGGTAGCATGTCCTGTGAGGAATGATTGAAGGAGCCAGGAATATTTAATCTGAAGCAGAGATGATTGAGATTTGCTGTCTGCTTCTATTTACAGAGCCTCCATGTGAGATAAAGATTAGACTTATTCTATTAATCTCTAGAGGTAGAAGTAGGACAAATGGAGAAAAAAAAATTCAACAGTAGAGAAGCTAAAAATACTATTGTATTTTGTGATGCAATGATAATATGTAATTATGTGACAGGAAGAATATCATTATCCCTTAGTAAATGAAAAAACTGATTAAGTGACTTGTATATGGTCACAAAACTATTAAGTTTCAGAGTAACGTTTTGAACGTAGAAATCCTGACTCCATGTCCTGTGGTCAGTGATCCATACCACACAATAGTGAAGTTACTCAGGAATGAAAGTATAAAAAGAGGCTAGACAATAGACAGCAGTTATCTCTTCAAAGATATTAAGCGTTGAGTAGGAAATGGTAGAGTAGTTACTCTCCAGGGTCCTTCTATTTTCAAAGCTAATCAGTTTTAATGATACAGGTTTCTGATGAAATGAGCCTTTTTGACTAAAATTAACTACCAAGTTTATTTATATTTTGTTTTTATTACAATGACATCACTACTTGTATACCTAGTCTGCCTAGTGGGTATACTCTTATAAATCACAAAAGCAGACTTTAGGAAAGTGCCATCCTGTGGGGTCTTGGTCAAGTCATTTCTCTGCTCTGGATTTTGACTGTAAAATGAACGAATTGGCTGCGTTGATCACTGAAGTCCACTTCAGGCTTTAAAGCATCTGATGCTAAGATTTCTTAAAGATCGCCTGTAAAATGACAGTTCATTCTTATCTACATTAGTTAGCATTTCAGCTAATAGGCACCTTCCCCTGACAATTGTTGGACCCAGCTTGGTAACACTAGGAAACCAGGCAGTGAAGTTTCCTGAATATTGGAAATGTCTTCTATTCTTCACTGCTCCTGTTCTCTATGAAACTCTTTCCCCATCCCCCACTCCCCAACCCCTCCCGTCTTTGATATCACCAGATTCTAACTGTGGCTTCAGGCATTTGCTTGGTATTTTATAATAGGCCCAGATAATTTTTTTGTCAGCATGTTTTTATGTTAGTATAAATTTGTTCTATATAGCATATTATAATAGCCCCTCCACCTCTATATTTATAAAGTACTCTTCCTCCCCGAGACACTCTGCATGTTCAGACAATATCTCATTAATCCTCACCAAGCACCATCTAGGTATTAGTAGCAACATTTTATAGTCGGGGAATAAGCAATCCTAAATTTGTACTCACAGACTTGAAAGCTGGATAAATCAGGTTCTCATGGCAAATGTGCCTCAGAATAAGAAGGATATTTTGAGATGGTGAATCCTTTTACAAATGATGAAGAAAATCCAAACCATACCGACAATGAAAATAAGTGATAAATTCAAAACCATAGGAATGAGAAAATGGGGAGAGACATTTGAGGTGCAGCACTGGGAGCCCATGAAACTGAAGGCTTGGTTATATACAAGGGAAAAAATCCAAGAGGTATTATTGTGTCACAATAAGGCCCATCTGCAATGCTCAGGAATAATCTGAAGTATCTTCTGTATTCAGTTCCAAACACTTTTTTTTATATGCTAGTAATTTCTGAGAGTATAAATGGATGCATGACAATTTATTTCAGAGATGTTTAGTTGGATTCATCAGATACCATGATATATAGGGCAGATAGGATCAATTTAAAAAATTGGTTTTCCTCCCCTCATATGTAAGCATAAGGTGTCCTTTTCTTCCTCTAAAGAGAAGAGTATGATGTAGTAGATAGTATACTGAACTTGGGAACCTGGAATTTGAGTCACATAAGAAGAGAGTTGACAGGAGACATAAAATGATTTAAGTTGCTTGAACCCAGGCCTTCCCAACTCTAAAACCTAGCCTCAGATATTTACTAGGTATATGACTATGGGCAAGCCAATTCTCTCAGCCTTAGTTCCCTTTTCCCTATTTGTTTTGTGGACAATGATAGGCCCCTATCTCACTGAATTTCGAGGACAAAGTTTTGTGGGGACAGTGTAATAAAACAGATGCTCAGTAAATCAACTATTTTTATTAGTAAAGCCTGAAATGAGGGTCAAGTGGAACTCATTCAATAGAAATGATTTTCAGAGGCAGCCTCAAGAATGAGATAAATTGCCATGTCCTTACTACTCATCCTCTCCCCTTTCCTTGTCACTTACTTTCTGATACTGGCTCTATTGAAGATAAATTCACCTGTTTGGATTATGGGCATTAGCTATGACTGCCTTCATCTTTCTAGACACAGGAAAAAGAAAAATCTGCTCCCTTGGCATTGTACTAATTCCCAAAGTAGTTAGATATGCTTTCGTCAGTTGTATTACTCATCCCTTTCAACTTTTGAAATATCCTCTGTTTCCTCAATGATGCTTTACCTCAAACTCTCTTGTTTTGAAATTACTCTATAATATGACATGCACATTATTCCTTCCTTTTTATCTGGGATAGTGACTCACCAATCGAAGGTTCTTGTCATAGTTCTCTTTGGTGTTTTAAATTGCACTTGTCTTTAAGCAAACAAATATTAATATAGTAACAACTATAATCTTCAGTTTGTTGGATTGGGTACTAAAGAGTAGGAGATGAGTTGTAGAAGGTGCAATATCCTGTCTGTCCTCCAAAAGGTTACAATTTAGTTGGAGAGATAAGACTTCACTATCTCTAAATAATCTCATTCTACTCTTAGTAAATCAGTTCCATTCAGCAAACATTATTAAGCACTTTTTATGTATGGAGTGCTCAGAGTTATGGAAATATGGATAAAACAGAGACCACCCCTCCAGTATTTATCATGTAGTAATATGTTATGACATAGATAAAAAATTATTTTGGGGAGAAAGGGACGAAATCTGAACCTGGGATTTTAGTCATTTTAAATCCCCAAACTCCCTTTACTGATGCACATCAGAAATTCTTCTATAGTTTATAGAGCTGGAGAGTTAACTGGATTAAGTTACTTGCCCCTAGTCACAAAGCTCGTATGAGTCAAAGGCAGGGAGGTTGAACTCAGGCCTTCCTAGCTACAAGACTTTCCCTTTACCTACCATGGCATATTGTCTCTTGACTAAAAAAAAAGTCAAAATAATACTAGAAGAATGCATGTGAGAGGTTTAAGTAAAGTGTTATTTGAGATCTAGTAGTATCCCAGGATAGTAAATATAGGAGAGGGAAATCTTTCTGGAAAAGGCAGCAAGAATTAAAGGGGCAGAAATGAAAGCCTTGGTGTTCTGGGCATAGTGAACAACATGGAAGCAAGAAAGTGGGGTACCTTGCAAGCATTTCTGTTCAGCTGGAGTTTAGTGTTTATAAAAAGAAGGATCACTAAATCTTTGATTGAGAAAGGAATTTTAGAGAACAAACATTCCAACCTGTATAGAAATCTGTTTGATAGCCAACTCAACAAGCAGTCATTCCTGAATGGGGAATGTGTGATATGAGATAATGATAGAAATATAGACCCATATCAAATTGTAGAAGCATTGGATACCAGACCAAGTTGTCTTAATTTTATTTAATAGACAAATGAGAGCTATTGAAAGGTTTTGAACAGAGAAATGAAGTGATCAGATCCATGCACAAATATGTTATATTAGGCAGGGTGCTTTATGAAGGATTGATTGGGGGGGGGGCAGAGTGAAGCACAGAGTTAGGAAGCCCGAAGAGGAAGCTTTTCTAATAGTCCAGGTAAATGATAATAAAGTAACAACTGTGGGAATAAAGAGTAGATAATATATCTGAGAGATATTCTAGAGAAAGTTTGACAGGATTGGTGCCTAATATATTGTAAGAGTCAATGAAGAGAGAAGAGTCAAAGAGAACAGTTTTTCATTCATGGAAGGTTTGGTGAGTGGGGAGCCACTGACAGAAAAGACAAATCTACCTCCCCAGTATATTTCATTGCTATTTTCCCTTTTTTCCACTTCTACTTGCCTCTATTTACTTTCTGTTTAGGCTTTTGTAATAACTTCCTGCCTCCATTGTCTCTTATCTTTAAACCAAGTCTTATACACAGATCATCATGTCTGCTACAAATCCTACAGTGGCTCCCAAGTGTCTGACAAATAGTATTAACATTCCTTAGTGTAGCATTTAACTGCTTTAAAATATCACCTTTTAAAAGTTGTATTGGTATATCCTTCCCCCAGCATTCAGAATCCACCCTTGCAATTGAGAAAAACAGAACAAATCCAACCAACACAGAAACCTATCTGTCTGCACCTGCCACAGTTGGCACCCACCCTTCATTTAATTGCAAGCTCTTTGAGGACAGGGACTATTTTTGTCTTTCTTTGTATCCTCAGCATGGTACCTATCACATAATGGCCTTTAATAAATGCTTATTGACTTGACTAGAGGTGAAAGAAGTGTCACTTGTCCTAATATCATCTGTCCTCTGGAATTTATCATTAATGTAAATTCAGTTGCAATTTTTAAAATGCTGTCATTTGTATTCCAATAATTGAAAATGCTGTTGTCCTGTTTCTATTTTCTTCAGTTTTCATCATTTTATACATATACTTAGGTTTCTCTGAATTCTTCATAAATTGTTCAGCCATTCCCCAAACAATATGCACTCACTTTTTCCCAGGTTTTGTTACCACAAAAGTGCTGTTATGAATTTTTTGTTCTTTGTGGGACCTATCTTTTTGTCATTGATTTTTTTGTACTGACTGCCCAGTAGGGAATTGCTAGATCAAAGGGCATGAACAGTCTAGTAACTTTTTTCTTGCAGAATTCCAAATTGTTTTCAAAAATGGTTGAAAGAATCCTTAATTATACCAATGTTACATTAATGTGTTACCCTGTCTTCCCATCATTATTTCATACTCTTTATCTTTATCTACTCTACACTCTAGTCAAACTGAATTATTCACTGTCTTTTAGTCACAGGTCATATTTTCCCACTTCCATATCTTTGCTCATGCTTGAAATGTCCATTCCCTCATCTCTACCTGTTGAATTCCTACCCACCCTCTTATATAATATCCTCCCTGATCTTTCCAACCATCAATGACCTACTCATTTAGAACACCTCTCAGAAGCATTCATCATTTATCACTATATGTTATGTCTGTTGTGTTTGTATCTTCTCTTAGACTATAAGCTCTAGGTGGATAAGGACCCTATATTATCTAACATTTCTCTGTGTCCTGGTACAAATTTTCTGAGTTAAACTCTCTAAAATATAAAGTGATGAGAATTATTTTGGTCCATGAGTTGTGGAGTCACCTGAACAGATAATCAAGAAAAGATAACTAGCAATGTAGCAGTGAATGCCCCATGAGTGGTACAAACAATTTGTGCTCTGGGATTTCAGAGGAGGGAGAGATTAACTTATTGCTGATCAGGGCTGATCTCACAGAGGAGACGGCATTTGATCATGAGCAGATTGTAGCAAAGGGAGAAAATGGTTGTGGACTATCCTCAGGACATAATGAAAACAAAATGGCAATGTATCTTAGAAATCAATGAGCAGAAGAGAAAATTGTGATTGTTAAAACATTTTCCCTTCTCAAACCATATTTCAAAAAATCAAAAATCCCCTTCGAGAATCTTGTCAGTGAAGAGGAAAAAAAAAAGCAGCATGAATGAGCTTAACATTTTCTCACATGAGTACCTGAAAACAATGGCATAGGATGAGAAGTTTTGGAGAGACTGCCATCTGCCCAGGTGGAGGGAATATCCAGCACTGATGAGATTTTGGTTCCAGATGTTAAAGTGCTTATTACAAAATTCTCTTTCATAGGTTCCAACTTAAATTTCACCATCCTTGCCCAAAAATGAAAGCAAGTCTCATGCATATGATCATAGATATAGTCTCACAAGGGATATTAGAAGTCATCCAATTCAACCCTTTTATTTTGCAGGGAGAGGGAGGTTGTGACTTACTCAAGATTATATGGGGAACAAGAGGCACAGACAGTATTCAAACCCAGATCTTAACTGCCATTTAAATGTTGGAGTTTTACTGATTGGGCATGTAAAGAAGACCTTAGTATTCATCTACCCTCAACCCCTGCACTCCAGACACACAAATTCTACCTGATATATATATATATATATATATATATATATATATATATATATAAAATTTTTTTTTCTCTTTTTGAGATAAGCTGCTTATTGCTTAGAGACATGTGGTTCTAATCTTTAAGATAGATTGGTTCATTCAATTCAAGCACCACATAACCATTCACATGCCATTGAGTTTAGCACTATTAAAGGGTAATCTCTCCTCTGGGAATTGTGTCTATTGCAGCCACATTATCCACACAGAGTCTTTTTTATCATCACTAGGCAGGTAAGGAGATTAAAATAAAAGGGTTTGTCAAGTGTGCAGTTGCACAAAGAGGCTTCGTTTGGAAATGACCCTGCATTATAGTCCAAAATAAACAAGCATCCAAA